AACTAGGGGCACCAGACCCCAAATTCTCAAATCATCTTGGGTTTGGAGCGTGCCCCCTGGGGCTTCCCGCGATCTGTCGCGTGACTTGTTCGTGCCGAAGAAAGTCCCAAGACGAGCCCAGAAGGCTCCCAGGGGCCTCCGAGACGGTCTAAGAGGGCTCCGAGTCGCCGAACGATCGCCCCAGGACTCCCAAGATGGCCCCCCGACGGCCCAAGAGGCCTCCACGACTCCCAAAAAGGCCTCCCAAGAGGGCCCAAAAGGCCAAAATCATTGATTCCCCTTGGTTTTTGAAAGATTTTGGCGCTCTCGCCCTGACAGCTTCCCGGCGCTGCCACCCCGCCCTAAAGACCCCCAAGACCGCCCCAAGACGGCCCAAGAGGCCTCCAAGAGGGCCCCAAAACCGGCCCAAGAGGGCCCCAAGACAGCCCAAGAGGCGCCCAAAACGGCCCAGAAGCGCTCCAACACGGCCCAAAAAGGAGCCCAAAAGAGGGAACACGAACCGAACATCAGAGCCTTCCGCCCCAAGAGGCCCCACCATGCCCCAAGAAGCGCCCAGGAGGCCCCAGGAACCCCAAGAGGCCCCCAAACCAAAGGCCCCAAAAACGCCCCAAGAGGCCCCCGAACGGCCCCCAAGAGGCAAACCAAACTGCCTCCAAGATGCCCCCGAGAAGCCCCCCACGAGATCCCAACGAACATCCAGTAGGCTTCATCCCCACAACCCAAGGACAGTGGCGGGATGGGCCGAAGGCCATCCGCCGCCCCCTGTTGATTCATCACAAGGGTGCCCGGCGTGCTAGACCCTCTCGCTTTTGGTTCTGGCTCTTTTCCAAAAGGCTTTCGGCCCGTCCCGTCGGAGATGCGTAACAAGCGGTTGCAATGGGTTTTTCGGCTCCTGACGGCTCAAAGATGGCCTCCAAGATGGTCCAGATGGCCGAAGATGGCCTCCAAGTTCGTCCAAGATGGTCCAAGATGGCCTCGAAGACGACCCAAGAGAGTCCAACATGACTCCAAAGTCGCACAAAAAAATACCTAAGACGGCCTAAGACGGCGCAAGAGGCCTCCAAGACGGCCCAAGAGGCCTCGAAGGGGTCCTCCACGAGAAAAAATCATGTCAATGTTTTCCTTAGGTTTTGAAGGATTTGGGCTTTCGTTCTTTTCGAACCTTCCAACGGCTCACGACGGCCCAAGGAGCCTGGAAGACCGCCCCCAAAGCGCCCGAGAGGCCTCCGAGATGGCCCTATGACGGCCCAAGAGGACCCCAGGAGGGCGCCAAGACGGCTCCAGAGGCCTCCAAGACGCCCAACCTGGTTTCCGAGACGGCCAAGATGACCTCCAAGACGGCCAAGATGGCCTCCAAGATGCTTCCAAGACGACCAAGAAGGCCTCCAAGACGGCGAAGATGGCCCCAAGATGCACCCACGACGGCCCCAGATGGCCTGAAGATGGTCACAGACTGCCTAAAGGGCCCGCCGGAGGCCTCCAAGACGGCCCAATACCCATTCCAAGACGTCCTCCAGGATGCCCGGAAGCTCGGAAACCACCTGGTCCGATAGCTCGCCCGCTCGGGGAACGCGTGGCCCGATAGCTTGGCCAAGCTCAAACCCAACCTTCGGCCACGCAGGCGTTTCCAAAAAGGCAGGGGGCGGCGGTGATTCGACGTAGACGTCGTCGTTTCAAACTGTGAATATATGTGTGTATATATATGTGTGTGTATAGTAGAAGCACGCGCGCTACGCGCGCGCGTGGTTCTAGTCACGGTATCATGGTGCCAAAGGATGCAACGGCAAGCAGTGCCATCGACAGCGGATCTCGTTCCAGAGGCTTCAGCTGGCACACGGGAGGGAACCGGAAGTGCAGGCGCAGTACCAGAATGAGGGGCGGCACAGAAAGAGGAGGTGAGCGGCCAGCACCCCGCTGGCGTCCTGAGCCCCCGTTCGGGCAGCGACGCCCGTGGCGCTTCGAGGACGGTAAAACGGCTGCGCCAGACTTCGAGGGGAAGGACTGTGGAGGGGGGGGAGGAGGAGGAGACGGAGGAAAGCCAGGAGCAGGAGGAGCAGGCAGAGGAGCAGGAGCAGGAAGAGCAGGACAAGGAGGAGCCGGAGAGGGAAGGAGGAGGAGGAGGAGGAGAAGGAGGAGGAAGAGGAAGAGGAGGAGGAGGAAGAGGAGCAGGAGGAGGAGGAGGAGGAGGACGAGGAGGAGGAGGAGGAGGAGGGGCAGGGGAGGAGAAGCAGTAGCAAAGGAGGAGGTGAAGGAGTAGGAGCAGGAGGAGGTGCAAGAGCAGGAGGGGGAGAAGGAGGAGGAGGGGGTGTGATGGGGGAGGATCAGGGGAAGGAGGGGGAGGAGCAGGAGGAGGAGGAGGACGACAACGACGCAGAGGAGGAGGCATCCCCCACCCCACTCCCCTCCTTCTGGGGCTGCCGTGCAGCGTGGGGAGTCAGAACAAGCTGGATGAGTGAAGCTCCCTGCAACCTCTTGGGGCCCTTGTGGCTCCGGGCCGCCGAAACCGTGTAAAAGCAAAGGGAAAGTAATGCCCCGGGCCACCCATGCGCCGCCGAGGTCCTTGGGCGGGACCCCCGGCCACGCCCCCCGGGGCTCTGGTGGCCCTGGGTGGCCGAAACCCCGTATAAACGCCTCGGCTATGGCGGCGCGTGCACCAACATAGGGCGAACACGACGGGTGCGCCGCTGGCTGCTCGGTGGGAGGCCCGCGCTCCTGCGGGGCCGACGACGCGCGGGGGGAAGGCGGCATCGGGCGCCGACGCCCTGCCGCCCCGCCGCACGACCGAGCGCGACCAGCGGTCGCGCCGCCACCATCACGCGCTTTCCAAAAGCGCGCGACCCGACGAGCGCCCCCAAGCGCGAGCCACACCCCACACCCCAAGAGGGCGGGCACTGGTGGGACCGAGCGAGGCGAGCGCCCCAAGGCGCGAGCCGGACACCCCCCCCGGGCGGGTGGGCACGGGCAGGACAGAGCCCAGGAAGGAAGCCGAGAGCGCCGTGCACGCGAGCCACCGCGCGCAGCACGCCCCGCAGGGCACAGGGTGGGCACAGGTGGGCAAGCGGAAGCCGAGCGCGCGCCCATTTCCGCGCGCCTTGCGGGCTGACGCAAATATATTCCAACACCTGCGAGAACGCCGCGCGCGGGGGCGCACTCGCGCGCCCCCCCCCGACCCCGATGCGGCGCAACCCCTCCGGGGGGGGGGGGTTCTCATGTGCCCCCCCCCCGCCTCTCCGCGCGCGGATGCGCACCGCTCCTGCCGATCGCCCCCCCGCGCGGCGCGGGCGCTCTCGCGCGCCACGGCGACGCGCCTCGCGCGCCCCCGCGCCGCGCCGTGCCACTTCCATGGCCGTGAACAATGAAACTGCAAAACCGCGCAAACCGCTCGCACTGCGAACCGCGCGCCGCCGCCTCTGCATTTCTCGGCCCTGAAAAGCGCGCTTGAGGGCTGATAAAAAACAGGGAAAGTAAGGCCCCGGGTCCCCCATGCGCCGCCGAGATCCTGGGTGTAGAAACATATGTATGTATCTATATATATATATATATATATACATGCATACATGCATGCATGCAAGCAGACGTCCATTCATACATACATGCATGTATACATACACATACATACATGCATCAATACATGCATGCATGCATGTATGCATATGTCAACACACACATACATGCACACGTACATGTATATATGTATACGTGCATAAATGATACATACACACATACATACATGGATGCATGCATGCACGCATAAATGCATACATACGTAAATGGGTTACATACGAACAAACTAACATGTATGCATGCATGCACACATGCATGCACACATACATGTATACATCAATACATATATGCATACACGCACCCGTACATTCATACATACATACATACATACATACATACATACATACATACATACATACATACATATGTACCTACATGCATGCATACGTACATATGTACATGCATATATACATACACCCGTCTTTACAGACATACATGCAGGCATGCATACATACATACATGCATACACACATGCAAACACACACTATCTGCATATATGTATCGATCATGTCCTCTTCATAATGATTGTTCAGCTCCCCCATCTGTACCACAAGCGCACATAACATCGTCATCACCAACATCGCCGGTGGATCATCGATATCATCATTATCGCATCCACCACCATCGATGCCAGTAATTGTCGCCATCATCATCGTTATCATCACTGCCACCGTCGACAGCGCAATCGCTATCACCCCTCATTTGCATCCTCCACTTCCTCAATATCTACACCTCCTCACCCTCGTCCTCGTCCCCATCCTCACCTCGTCCTCATCGTCATCATGATCATCACCGTCATCGTAATCAACCTAAACCAAAGACTCATCCCAAAACCCCGTTCTCATCATCAACGGCATCATCACCGCCATCATGCTGATCATCATCATAATCAAAATCAGCCTCAACATCATCCTCAATATCATACTCGTCATCATCATCACCATTATTACCGTCATCACCATCACCATCACCATCACAATCACCATCACCATCACCATGACCATGACCATCATCACCAGCATCATCAGCAACATCAGCGTCATCATAAGCAGCATCATCTTCCACATCATCATCATGATCATCATCATCATCATCATCAACATCACCATCACCATCATTACCATCATCATCATCGTCATTACCATCATCGTCAACATCACCAGCATCCTCATCATCATCAGCATCATCAGCACCATCGTCATCGTCACCATCGTCATCATCGTCATCATCATCATCGTCATCATCATCATGATCACCATCATCAGCATCATCATCTTTCTGCTCGTCGCCCCCGACCACCAACACGCGAGGGGCTTTCCACAAGTAGCCCATTCTTGGGGAAGGCAGGGGCACAGCCACCAGACACGACATGCAAGCGCACAACGCCCAGCGAAACGAAACGTGCCACGCGACGCGCTCTGGCATGCCCTTGGCGCCTGCTTCGCCTCGGCGGACACCTGCTGGATGCCCAGGATCAGTTCCTTGCACAGGGTCCGCGCCTTCTTGTGCGGCGAAAGCCTGCCCGCCCCAGAACCCCCGACATCCTGAAACTGATAGCTCTGCCGAGCAATCTCCCACCCAGTCATGCCGCGCGGGGGCAGGCACCCTGCAAGAAGTTGTAACATATGACAACTGGGCCAACGACCGTCTGATACGCCGACACGATTTGAGGGACAGCGAGGAAGCTGCGATGAGCCTCACAAAGTGGCAACCATTTCGCCACGGGACCGACGCAAACCATGACGTCCACAAGACCCACAACCGAAGCAATCCAGAAGCATTACAACCCCCGGCGGGGCCCGCATTCAATCCTGTGGCTGCACTACAATATGCACGAGCCCGAAGCTGAACTCAAGATACTTCCCCATCATCATCCTCCGCCTTCGAACCCCTCTCAAACCAATCCTCCTCCTCCTCCAGATTATCCGTCTCCTTCTCCTTCTCATTATCATCCTCCTCATGCCCCGCCTCCTACTTCTGCTTCTCATCTCACGTCCTCCTTACTCACTCAGTCATCCCGCATCTCGCATTCGCACACTCGTCCCCAACCCTGTTTATGATCACCACCTGTTCCATCATCACCATCGTCGTCGAAATCTTCGGTCTCCCCTTGCCGATCACCATCCTGCGCATCTTCTTGCTCCATCCGCCCTTCCTCATTCCCAATCATCAGCACCCCCATCCTCCCCTCCACATGCTCATCCTCGTACAGCCTCGCCCCACGCATTCTCCTCGTCTTCCCATCTTTTGCCTCATCGTCCCTCCTCCCTCCCTCCTCCTCCCACCCCGCATTCACGTCCTCGCCGCCCTCACCATCTGCCCACCCTGAGCGACCTTCAGCGAAGAGAGCACGGCTACCGCCTATACAAAGAGAAAGATGCAGCAACAAGCCCGTTGCGGAAGAGAGAACAGAAAGCAGCTGGTCGGGTCCTGCGGCTGCACGCGGCGGCTGCGGAGGCCCCTGCCCCCCGCAGTGGCCCGGACGGGCCCTCGTCGGCCTGTGGCTGCCGTGCACCACGCGCTCGCCCGGGAGGCCAGGGCGCGTGCGCTCCGGCCGCCCGGGGCCGCGGACATCAGCAGCAGTCGGCAGGTGCTTCGCTCTGCCTGCGCGCCCTGGCTCGGCTTCCCTGCGCCGCGTCGGAGAGCTACGCCGCGCCCGAGGCACTGCAGCGGGCTTCTAGAGCGCATCGCGGGATGGTTTGCCCAGAGCGCAGACAGTCAGCCAGCAAGCCAGCCAGTCTGGGCATCATCACCCCCACAACACACTCGTCATCTGCAACACCATCACCGTTATCATCTCTACGGTCACCACCACCATCATCACCACCACCAATACGATCCTCCTCATCATCAGCATCATCAGAATCATCATTATCATCACCACCACCATCATCTCCACCACCACAACCACTACCACCACCATAACCATCATCATCATCACCATCACCATCACCATCACCATCGCCATCGCAATCACCATCACCGCCATCACCAACATCGCAACCACCATAACTACCATTATCAGTAGCAGCAGCATCATTAAACTCATCATCATCAGCATCACCATCACCATAACCATTACCACTACCATTACCATCACCATCAGCATCATCATCATCACCCGTCCATCCTCACATCATTACTCGTCCTCGTCGTCGTCGTCGTAGTCGTCATCGTCATCGTCATCCTCATCGATAGCATCATCATCAGCATCACCATCATCAGCAGCATCATCAGCAGGATCATCGTCATCATCGTCATCCTCATCGTCGTCATATCCCTCCTCATCATTGCCCTCATTGTCATACTACTCCTACCAAAAGCGGCCTCCGCGGCGATCGCTCCCGAGATGCCCTTGTCGAGGTTTTTCCCGCCTTGCGAGTATGCAACAAGACATGGAGGTAACAGGCGAAGACAGAATAAGGAGGAAAAAAAAATTAAGAAGACAAAATGTGGAGGAGGACGAGGACGAGGATGATGAAGAGGACAAGGATCGACAGTAGACTGAGTCGAGTCGTAGATGTGCACGCGCCACACTACGACATCAGTGGAGTGAGGTGCTGCCTGCACAGTCGTCCGTCGTTGGGAATCCTTCCTCGGCACCCGTGGGACACAGCCGCCTTCGCTTTGAAGTGCGTGTGGAAGGCCAACGAGCGCATTGTCGGAGCAGGCGCTCGAGTCCGTGGGAGTGCTTGCCCAGAGTGTTCGTACAGTCGGGCTGCTGAAATAAAGAACGCTGAATAAGGAACGAAGCCCCTTTTCTGCACCAGAAGAGCTTGGGTGCACGGCGAGGGCTAGAAGAACAATCACTGAAAGACCTATGAAACATCGAGCCCCTTCCAGACCCAAAGCGGTCTATGTTTCAGCGTCTTGGCTGTAGGCCGAGAGTGGCCAGGGTATCAAAGAGTGCTGAAAAAGGGAGCATGGCATGGAACGAACGATATCCGCCACCGTGAAATTCTTGTCAGCCGTTTGGAATGCTTGTCAGCTGTTGGGTTGGATTTCTGCAGCGCCAAGGTCTGCGCCAGAGGCGCCGACAGGGGGATCCAGCAACGATCCACGAAATCCGCGCAGATCTTCGCAAGGACATGCTTATGAAGCTGCTGCTTCTTCGGTAAGTCCCTGCAGTTGTCTAAGGGCGCACCCACTTCCTCGAACGACGCCGACGAAAATCCCCCGATACGTGTTGTTTTACGGCGCTGTTCTCGGCCCATTGACCCAAGACCGCCCCAAGACGAATATGTACAACATTGCCCCCAAGTTCGACCTAGGTCAGCCCGGGGACCCCCTCGAGAAGTCATCGCGTCCCGAAACTGCTCGAGGACGCCGCATGAGAAGGCCTCTGGGATCTTTTGGAGGGCCCCAGTGGGGGCGCCGAAATAAGCGCCGCCTCCTTCTCTGATCGATGGCCTCGAAGATGTCCTCAAGAGGGCCCTCATGGCCCCCAAGAGGCCCCAAGAGGGACCCAAGAAAGCACCAAAGGCAACACACATGGCTCCAAGTGGGCCCTGAGATGGCCCAAGTAGGCTGCCAAGAGGCTGTCATATTATCACTCCCGGCACGCACTTTTGGAACCCATTTTGGCAACGGCAGCGGAAACCAACCTTCAAGGGCAACCACCCTTTCAGAACAACAACGACATCTCGGCTAAACCGGTAACCCTCCGCCTGCAAAATTCTAACAACGGCCGAAACTCGATGGACTAACCGCACAGTATATTTTGACAAACAACTCAACCCAATTAAAAACAAAAAAGCATTAATCGACAAACGTAAACACACACACACACAAAAAAAAAAAACGCGCTGTTGTCTGAAAACATAAACATGTATTTGCGATGCAGGGGGGATTTATTCAAACATACGAAAACATGTGATATGGAAACTCTGTTTTAGTTTCAACGCGCGCGCATCTATGGTTTCAAGCACGCTCCTTTCTAACGTCCTTCTGCGTGTTCTAATCGCCATCGCGCGAATAGGAATTATAAGGTATGCCTTCACTCAATGCGACTCTGGCTCGGATCTCAAAACTTGCAATGGTTTGCGCGGTTTCGCTCGTCACAAAGGCCAAGGAAACTCAAAACACACTCCGCAATTGCGAAACTGAAATCATGCAATTCGCACATAACTGCCTTCACCGCGGGCCGCGAGAGAGGCCAGGGGAGGTCCTCCTGCCCGTTCAGGGGGCCACAACCCACAACCGAGGCCCGTCCTGAGGGTTCGACGGTGCGCTCACCGTCGTCGTGCAACCGCCGCGCAAAATTTGACAGCGCTGGGCTGCCCTGAAGGGTTGAACGGTTCCCGCCAACAAAAATCGACAACGAATCTTGGATCCGACGGTCACCCCAGTCCCGTAGCGACTGCCAAGACTGACATCAGATTGAAAGGCCCGCGAAGGCAATTACTCATGGACCTGCTCAGGCTGGTTCCGATCTTCGGTTTGACGGCTGCCCTGCCTGTTTGTTCCAATACGTGCTCCCACACTTGCTTAATCAATGCGAGTCGCCTGGGCATCGCTGCTGGATGGGCTGGTGGGGATTTTTTAGTTAGCGGCCGCAGGCGAGAGCGCCAGCGGCGAGTCCAGTCAGAGCGGGCCGCGCAAAGACGAATTAACCTAAAGCGGTGGGCCGGAGCCTCACGAAGCACCTACTGGTGGGGATATGCGAAGCGTCAAGAATTGCGCTGCCCAGCCGAGCCAAGCGCAAACATTGAAGAGAGGGGCGCTGAAGACGCTGTCAGCGAACAGTGACGAGGCACAGAGAGGAGGGAGATGAGGCGGAGGACGGGGAGGAGGGGGGGAGGAACTGACGAGGGCAGAGGCAGAAGGTAGAGGGAGGAAGGAGAGGAGGGGAGGGAGGGCAGAAGCAGGCAGCATTCCACATGCGGGGAGAGGAGGGGAGGAGGGGAGGGGAGGAAGGAGAGGAGGGGAGGGGGGAGGAGGAGGACAGAGGTAGAAAGTAAAGGGAGAAGGGAGGAATGGGGAGGGAGGGAGGGGAGGAGGGGAGGACAAAAGCAGGCGGCATCCCACATGCGGGGACAAGCTTCGGCGGGCCACCCGCGCGCTCGTCGATTCATGAGTGGGGTCAGTGCTGTCACGCTCTCAGGCGGCGGCTCGGTATCCGCGCCTGGGCGCCCTCCCCTGGGGGGGACAGGGGGGGGGAGCGACAGGGAGGGAGGAGGAGAGGCACTGCGACGACGTGCAGTAGGAGAAAAGGGGGGAGGGAGGAAGCAGAGGACCTTGACGTTGTGATTCGTCTCGTGCTCACCCTTTTTCTTGGCCTCTGCCTGCGCGTTGAACTGAGCCCTCTCCTCCGCCGACACCTGAGCGATGATCAAAAGCTGGTCTTACGCGAGGTAGCACAGCGACCTTACGCGGTGGCTTGCGCGGGCCGCCAGCGCGGCAAGCCACAGTGGAGACGAGGGCTTATGCGCGACCTTACGGGAACACCTTGCGCGCGAATGTCGGCGAAATCGACCCGTTGTTTTGCGTCGCTCGCCTGGGCCCACTTCTCCGCCAAGATCTTGGCCTGCTCGCCCTTGGTCTTGCCCTTGAGCTCCTCGGCAAACTGGGGCACTACGACCTTCTTCCATTTGTCGAAGACTTTCTTGTTCTTCTTGCCCTCCGCCTTGCTCTCGCCCTCCGCGAGCGCGACCTGCGCGCTGAACCGAGCCCTCTCCTCCGCCGACACCTGTGCCCACCTCTCTGCCAAGACCTTGGCCTGCTCGCCCTTGGGCTTGCCCTCCAGCTCCCCGGCAAGCTGGGGCGCTGCCTGCCGCTTCCACTGCGAGAAGGCCTTCTCTTCCGCGGCGCGGGCTCGACTCGCGGGAGTTCGCGCTTCGCTGGGACTCCTCGTCTGAAGGGGCCCTGGGACACACAGACAAACAGACACACATCCCAGGATTCCCCATAGTTCCCCATATGTTATGAGGTTTCGCCTTCCCCTCCGCTTCCCATGTTTTCCCATCTGTTTGAGGGAATCGACATTTGATCGCGTCTGTGTCTATTTGTCCCTCCTGATCTTCGCTGGGACTCGCTTCGGCCGAGGCTCTCTCTTCACCTACGCTCGCTTCGCACCGACCCCTGTTCTCCCGAGGCTCCCGTCGCCAAGGACTGCCTCCGGCCCGCTGAACCCGAGGCGCCCTTCGCTGGAGGCACGCTTCGACCGAGGCTCTCTGCACCCGCACTCGCTTCGCACGGGCCCTTGCTCGCCCGAGACACCCTTTGCCAGAGGCGGCCTCTGGCGAAGGGAGTCTCTGGCGAGGAGGGCCTCTGAGAGGACCCGCGAGGGCCTTCTCAGAGGCGAAGATCTTGGGCGAAGAGAAGGAGAGCGAAGTGGGCGGCCTCTGGCAAAGAGGGCCCCTGGGAGGCCCTCTTCGCCGGGACCCGCGTCGCCCGACGCTCCCAGCGCCGAGTCGCTTCCCCGAGGCTCGCCTCACCCAGAACGCTCTTCGCCGGAGGCTCGCCTCGCGACGGCTCGCCTCTCCCGAGGCCCTCCTCCTGCCAGGGAAGCTCCCTTCGCTGGGACTCCCCGCTGCCGAGACTCTCGCGGGGACCGGTCCCGGAAGGGCTGGCGAGCAGTCTCTAACGGACGGGCGGGGGGAGGGGCACCGGCGGACGGGCGGGCGGGGGCGCAGCGAGTCTCGGGCGGTGCGAGCTCTCCGGGCGAAGGCAGGCGCGGGCGAAGAGACGCTGGGCGAAGCACGGCGAAGCGAGGCACGGGCGAAAAGGCGGTCTCCAACGGACGGGCGGATGGAGGGGGGGGGGGACCAGCGGACGGGCGGGCGGGGGCGCAGCGAATCTCGGGCGAAGCGAGCTCTGGGCGGAGGTAAGCGCGGGCGAAGAGACAGGCTGGGCGAAGCGAGGCACGGGCGAGGTAGGAGGTGGAGGGAGGATGAGACGCAGGTGGAGGTAGGAGGTGGAGGTAGGAGTATCGAGGTAGGAGGTGGAGGTGGGAGGTGGAGGGAGGATCGAGGTGGGAGGTGGAGGGAGGATCGAGGTGGGAGGTGGAGGGAGGGAGGAGGTGGAGGGACGATGAAATGATAGGGTGCGCATTCGAGACAAGGGACGAGCGTCCGTAGAGATCGGAAAGACATGCGCGGCACGCTTCAACATCTCAGCGTTGCTGAGATCCGTCGGCCACGACCCCTGCTCAAGCCGAATCACATCCTCACTTGTTAGGGGCATCAACGCTACGAGTGCACGGTTTCGCCAGCCTGCGCATAGTAGCAGGAAAACAGAAACCACAAGCGTAACAAAATGAAACCAAACGATCTGGGCCCTCTGGAGGCGCATCGTACGGGGTTCGTGTGCCCCCGAGCGATGTGTAGCCGCCCCCACCCTGGGGAAGACACTCGAATGTCTCATAACAAGTAAGAAGTGTGAAGCACTGAGGACCGTGGCGTGCCAGTCAGAGTGGGGGGAGAGGAGGATTGAGAGAAGCAGGGGGGGAAGAGGGGGCAGGGAGGAAGAGGAGGTAGCAGGAAGAGGAGATAAAGAGGAGTAGGCAGACGACGACAACGAGAAGGCACATGGGGAGGAGGAAGCAAAGGACCTTGAAATCCTGCTGCTGTTTCTTATGCTTAGCCTTCCTCTTGCTCTCCGCCTGCGCGACCTGCGCGTTGAACTGAGCCCTCTCCTCTGCCGACACCTGGGCCCACTTCTCTGCCAAGATCTTGGCCTGCTCGCCCTTGGGCTTGCCCTTGAGCTCCTCCGCAAACTGAATCACTACAACCTTCTTCCACTCTTCGAAGACTTTCTTGTTCTGCTTAGTGGTCGCCCCGATTGTCCTGATGAGCTTATTATGCTTCTGCGCGCTCTGGAGAGATGCCCTGTCCGCGAAAAAAGTCTTGTACTTGTCAGACTTCTTGTACTCGGTCGCCGCCTCGGCGCCACCGCCGCGCTGCTTGCCGGCGCCAGCGCCAGCTGGGGAGCCTGCGAGGGGGGGCCAACTCGATCCTCGATCCTACCTCCGAATCCTCGACCCTCCTTCTCCTCCTCCTCCTCCTCCTCCTCCTCCTCCTCCTCCACCTCCACCTCCTCCTCCTCCTCCTCCTCCTCCTCCTCCTCCTCCTCCTCCTCCTCCTCCTCCTCCTCCTCCTCCTCCTCTATTCTCGATCCTCGGGGGGGCGAAGGCGAAGAGGCCCCAAGACGGCCCAAAAGGCTCCCAAGGCTCCGCGAAATCAAGCGCCAGCTTTTTCCGCGGCGTGGCGGCGCCCCAGGACCCCCAATCTCAATGTTCGCGTCGAAACTGGCGACTCATGTTCTTCTTCGGACACCAAGGGCCGCATTGCGCGAGGGAGGGGGAGGGCGAAGAAAGTGGGCCCCAAGACGGCCCAAGCGGCTCTCAGGACGGCCCCAGGGGCCCGCAAAGACGAGGGCTCGATTCGGCTTCAGGCCCGCTTCAGCTTTCGGCCCTTTCGGCATCGGCCCGGTTCGGCTTCAGCGCGTTTCAGCTCGGCCCAGTACGGCTCGGGCCGGAGCCGAAGCGTGCCGGGACGAAACGGGCCGATGCCGAAACGGGCCGAAGCCGAGAAACGGGCCGAAGCCGAAACGGGCCGAAACCGAAACAGACCGATTGAGCCGAAACGGGCTGGAGCCGCAGCGGGCCGAAGCGGAAAGCGGCCTCTTCCCCAGAGAGCCCAAGAGGGCCCCAAGAGAGGGCCAAGGAGGTCGTGGGGCATTATCTTGGGGGCGCGGCTGCCAATATGCCCCCAGGACCCTCGTATAGGCCTTGGAAACGCTGCCAAGAGACCGCCAGAAGGAGGGGGAGGGGGGAGAGAAATCGCTCACTGGTATGGATATCATGGCGGTTTCCTGCATTGTGGAGGTGAACCAAAACCTTCAGGCGGGCCCTCCGCGAGGAAGAAGGCGAGGAGGAGGTACACTGCCGCAATGCAGGTCAGGGAAGGTCAGGAGGAGAAAGAACAGGATGCGGCTACGGGAGGGGACCTTTTGCACCACTGTGGGGGAAGAGGAGGAGGAGGAGGAGGAGGAGGAGGAGGAGGAAGAGGAGGAGGAGAGGGAGGAGGAGGAAAACCGCAAAGTGGTGGGGGGGGGTGGGCGTCCGCGGCGCGCGTAGCCGCAGCGCCGCGCCACCGGGCTGCCCAGCGTGAGGCTGGGGCTCAGAGCGGCATTCGGCCCGCGACCGCCCCCACCGCCAGGAGGCGGGCGCGGCATCACCACCTACGACCAAGCGCAAGAGATCGCCCGCCTGGCACCGGCGAACCCGACCTGACCGGGCCGCAGCACGCTCTCTACTCAGACTTCACAGTGCTGCGCTTGGTCTTTCAGGGCATCACTCTTCACGGAGTATGGAATTCGCGGGAAGAGCGCAGCAGCTTCGACTTCAGGATGGAAATGCACTGAGCGTGGCACTCGGAACGGATCTGACGATACCCGATGTCGGGCCCTAGTATGTAGTATGACATATCGGTCACACAGTCAGAGGCAGCACGATGATGAGGTTAGGGCTAAGGGCTCACCCAAAGCAGGAGGATGATCCCAAGACGTGCGTAGACGACTGCATGAGGTGCACCACAAGCTACGCCGAGAAGCACCGGATCTACAAGGCCCCCCACAAACCATTCGTCTGTTGTGCGCCATAGAGGCAAGATCCACTCGAAGCTGAACACGTTGGCTGAGATTGCTTCAAAATGAAGGCGAACGATGACGACAACTGCGGCACAAGAGCGTGAGATGGCAGTCCTCGGGTATTGTACCTGCTGTGGCAGCTCAGGTCACCTCCAGAACAGGAGAAACAAGCCCGATATGGTGTTCGCCGAGGTACGACTAGGTATGAGGCGTTGAAAAAAACAGCTGGCAGCACTGAAAGCTGATGCTTTTTTCGAGGGTCACATCTCGTTGTACTGAGAAGACCTGTTTCGAGAAGTTACCCAGGGCACAGAAGGATCCCACCGAGCAGCGATGGAGATAGACATGACCGTCGAAAAGCGCTGTCAATAGCTATTGAGATACCGCCGCCACCACCACCACCGCCCCCTCCCCCCCGAGAGCCAGCCCCCACAGAGTTGGAGATCGAGATGGCGGTGGCAAAGCAAGTACCAGGACATGCAGCTCCAATACAGCCGAAACCTCGCGCAGAACTGCGACCAACCAACCCCATCGCCCACGGCAGTCACGCGCGATGCAGCGCTTCCCTGCTGGATGCAGACAGAGGCGCGCATGAAGTTGGAAAGGCCTGCTGCGTAGCCTGCCAGCTTGGGAACCAGCATCGAGGACAGGACGAAGCTCGACCAGCAGGGCTCGAGCCCGCAGCACCACGCCCAGAGCAGGTTCGCTCTGGCCCTCAGGCCTCCGCCGCAGCACCATGCTCCGCTCGGCGCTGCACGGGGGCAGGGAGGGGCCTCGGGAAGAGCGGCAGCCGCTGGCAGTGGCGACGGCGGGAAGCCGTAGCGCGCTGCAGGAGGCGGCGAAGGCAGGCACCGAGCCGAGGGACGGGAGATTTTTCAAGAGGTCGAAGCCGCCCAGCATCGTGAGGCGGGTACCGAGTGGGCGACGTGACAGAGGCAAGCAGCTGCACAGCACCATCGCCACCTTGTGATGCGCAGGCAGCAGCACCGGCATGCTCTGCAACTTGGCGCGGCACGGCTGCAGTCAGAATGGCAGGCACGATATCAACAAAATACTTGCGAGCTGAGCCCGACACTCTGAAGCAGAGGCTCACGTCCCAGCATGAGATGGCCATTCGATCGCAGGAAGAACAGACTGAACAGCGAGTACAAAGAAATGGAATGGTCGTCGGCAAGTCGAGAATGTGCCAATGGGGTGTTTTGCAGGAGCCCGACGAACAGCGCAGGCAGCTACAGTGGGAACAGCTCGTCAGCGCGCCGTTAAAGTTCAGCACCGAGGCCGTGGGACCAGTCAAGGTGGCAGACGAACGCTACGTAAAGTTAGAAGAAAAACTTCGAGCAGCACACGCAGCAAATGATGCGCTCAAGGCGACGAGCAAGTCCTCGGGTAGGGCTGCACCTAGGTCGACACCGACTCACCCACCAGGCGCTGATCTACGTCCGGGTGCTCCATCACACTGGGGCCACCAGAGGCAAAGAAGGACGACGGTGGCTCCGACAGTTCCCCTTGGCCAAGTCAGCGGCGTGTATGTTGCGCCCTGGCCGGCCCACATCATGCGAGTTGATCCGTGCGCAGATCCAGCGCGTGCGGAATTGGCACCCCCATCTACAAGTGGGTCACGCGAGAGGCGAAAGCACGCGGCTGTCCTTGAGCAAGAGGCTACTGGAACAAGCTGAACAGGGCTCGACGGTTCAGGAAGAACGTTGACAGCGTGTCGGGCCTTGATTTAAGCCTGATGTCGAAGAGGAGAAAGCAAATGATGATGCTCGGGCAGGCGCCTGGCTCACGGAGGAACCGCGAGCTGAGTTGGAAGACCTCGAGGCCTTGTAAGACATGCAGGACGTGGACTTACAAAATGCTCCCAGGGAAGCCTTAGATGGGCATGTAGGCATGTATCCGACCAGGAGCGCTTGCGAAAAACCGAGGATATGGCGAGCGCGTTTCTAAGCCAGAGTGGTGCACAACTTAGTCTCGACCACCCTCCTCATGCTGCATGTGATGATGCAGATTTCCAGAACCTCATGCGCGAGATGCGCGGCAGGGCTGATATCCAAAAAGCAGGGTGCTGCGTGGTCTGTGGGTCGCCGCAGCCCCCGGCTCGTGAGTTACTTGATGCTGGCAGTAAAGCTCAGGTGAAGGAGCCTCCTCGGCCTGGCGATGAGGTGCACGCCCCCGGGGCAACGGCCTTCCCAGAAGACATCATAGACCGTGGCGAGGGCCCGTGGCGCCAGCGTCGCAGCACCGTGGACAAGGAAGACCACAACTACGACAACGCTGCGAGCGAGGACTAGCAGTGTACCGGGAGAGTTCAAACCACGAGAGCAGCCCTTGAGAAGGAGGCGATGGAGGAGCTGCAAATGATTCAAGATGACGAAGCTCAAGGGTGTGAGTTCGAGGCGTGGCAGTCCGAAGAACTGGAGCTGTTTCAGGAGGAACACGCAGTGTAGGTACGACAAATTGCTGAGCAGCAGACGTTTCCTGTTTCTGGCGACGAAGGGACTTCTGAGGTGACCGACAGAAGCCTCCGACAGAAGCGACCACCTCAAAAAACAACTCGGCAGCATGACCAGCCACAGGCAGAGGGGCATGCGGAAGCAAGCCACGCCCGAGCCCCTGGGGCACGAGGTGAACGTCCTCCTGCTGACGGCAACTGGTTATCTGAAGATGGCGGCGACCATGTTGTACCATCATCTCTGACAGTACCGAGCGATCAACGCCCCTATGGGTGCAGCGGCCGAGAGCACCTATAACGACTGGGGTGCATCGCTGGCATTCCACAGGCAGTCCTGGTAACTCGCCTGCTCGAGCACGTCCAGGAACAAGCGCACGAGTTGCACCTGCGCGAGGTTTGGTTTCAGCATCGCCCGGGGGAGGGCGGGGCGGGCAGTTCACCTCGAACTCGTCATCTGCCAGATGCCTGTACCCATGCACATTATGCGCGCGCTCCTACTGCCCAGCGGCAACCAGGAAATGATGACATACGACGAACCGATTTTTTCGAGGAAGAGGAGGAAGGAATGCTACCACATAACGTCACCAGACTCGGCCTCGACCGCTGTGCGAATCAAAAGGTCGCCTCCTCCTCCTCCTCCTCCTCCTCCTCCTCCTCCTCCTCCTCCCTCCTCCTCTCCTCCTCCTCCTCCTCCTCCTCCTCCTCGATCCTCCTATTCCTCGCCCGGGGCAGCTGGGTGGCTCCTCACCCCCGCACCAATGGGGGGCCCTGGTCCCGCCGCCTCCTCCTCCTCCTCCTCTCCTCCTCCTCCCTCCTCCTCCTCCTCCTCCTCCTCCTTCTCCTGCTCCTCCTCCTCCTCCTCCTGCTCCTCCTCCTCCTCCTGCTCCTCCCCCTCCCCCTCCTCCTCCTCCTCCTTCTCCTTCTCCTCCTCGTCCTCGTCCTCGTCCTCGTCCTCGTCATCCCCCTCCTGACCTGCGCCCGCGGAGCCGCGTCCCGCCGCCGAAGGCGGTGGGGGAGGCTGAGGAGACGGCGACGGCTTCCCCCTCGCCGCTCTGGCTGAGGTGGCCGGGCTGGCCGGGCTGAGCAACTGGTCTGCTGGGCTGGCAGGGCCGCCCAGGCCGCCCGAGCCGGCTGGGCTGGCAGGGCTGGCAGGGCTGGCGGGGCTGGCCGGCCACGCCAGCGGGGCTCCCGGCGCGGGCTGCGAGGGCGCCCCGCTCGAGGCGGCGCCTGCCTCCGAGCCGCCGGAGGGCCCGCCACTGCCGAGCACCACCGCCCCGTCGGGCACCGCTGCCCCCGCGCCGCGGGCGGGATCGCCGCTGGGCGCCACGTGAGCGCTGGCCTCTGCGAGCCGGGCTGCGGCGCCGCGGCCTGCGCTGACTTCCGCGGGTGCCTTGCCGTCGGGCGTGGCCGCCGCTTCTGCACTGCAGGCTGGCCCGCGGTCGGGTGCCACACCGTCGGCGGCCGCCACCTCCGCCTCTGCGGCGCTGGCAGAGCCGCCGCCAGGCGCTCTGCCGTGCAGCGTCGTGGTCGCGGCCTCCGCCGCCGCGCCGAACGCAGGGCCGCCAGTGGGCGCCGGGCAGTCCGGCGCGGCCACCACGGCTGCCGCTGCCACGCACTCGGCGCTGCTAGCAGCCGCACGGCTGGGCGCCGCGGCGTCCGCGGCCGCGAGCCACGGGGTGGCAGCCACGCAGCCACGCAGCCACGAGCCGAGGCGAGCCACGAGACGAGGGGCGGGAAACGGCGGATCGGCATCCACGCCGACGCCCGCGCCGGCCGCGCACCCGCCGCTGGCCAGGCCGTCAGCGCTGCCGCCGCCGCCGCCGCAGGGCGGGCTGGGGGCCGCAGCCTCTGCGCTGGGAAGGGCAGAAGAGGCGGGCGGCAGAGGCTCCCCGCCACGCTCGGCCATCTGATCCGCCGCGCGCGAGGAGGCTGTGTTGTCGACGTCGGGTGCCGCGGCTGCTGTCGCTGGGACTCCAAAGCTGGCAGTGGCGACGGCAGCTGCCTCTGTGGCGGTGCTGCGCTCCGCGTGATCGGCAGGTGTGCGGCTGGGCAAGCTGGCGCTGGCGTCGGACCATTCGGGATGTCCACCCTCGATGCAAGCAGCCGCAGAGGCCATGACCGAACTCTCGTCGACGCGGCCGGAGCGGTCAGGCACCGGAGAAACTGCGCAAAGATCTGCAGGGCGTGCACGCGGCGAGCTGGACTTGTCCTCGTCGACCGATTCAGCTGTCACTGCCTGGGCCTTGCCGTCGGCGCCACTGGCGCGCGCCTGTCGGGGCGGCGCAGCGTCCGTCGGAGGAGAGGCCAGCGGCGTGATCTCCTCTTGGGAGATGGGCGCCCTCGCCAGAAACGTGTGCGCACAGCGTAGCGATGGCATCGAGCGAGAGAGAAAAAGAGAGAGAGAGAGAGAGCAACAAAAAGAAAGACACCCACACACACACACACACTCAGGAGATGTGGTACTCTTTGTCGGCGGTGCAATCGTCGCGCTACCACGCGGAACGCCGGGGAAGGGACGAAAGGGCTTCTCTGGCCACGGCGAGCCACGCCCAGAGTGGTTCTCTTGAGCGCCCCGACCGCAGATCGGGCTATCCGGTGGGAGGGGGGGGGGGGCTGGCCGAGGGCCTCCCGTGCCCGCACTGGGCAGCCAGAGCCTGCGAGGCGGGGACTGGCCGATGCCTCGCAGCCTCGGGCCTCCCGGCGAGGCGGCAGCCAGAGCCTGCGAGGCAGCCAGAGCCATCCGGTGGGAGGGGGGGTGGGCTGGCCGATGGCCTCCCGTATCCGCACTGGGCAGCCAAAGACTGCGAGGCGGGGACTTCTCCGTCTCCACCGCCTGGGAAAACCGACGTCCTGGTGCCCCAGCGGGCGGTGGACCTGGACATATCTCGGCCCCTGGGGGCCCGAATGTGTTCACATCCACCGCCTGCCGAGGCTCCGAAAACTGACCCTCCGGGCGGTGGTCATGTATGAACTCCCGCCTCTGAGGAGAGAGAGAGAGAGAGACAGGAAGAGAGAGAGAGAGAGAAACAGGAAGAGAGAGAGAGAGAGAGAGCCAGAGAGAGAAATCCAGACGACGCCGTATCGAATCCACCTGCGGCGGGGCCTCCCCTGCGCAGCCTGGGCCCGCGAATCCTCTCGCTGGCCAGACACGGAGGCAGCTCGCCGCGGGGTGGCGACAACGGGGGTACGGGGTCGCCGCCAGATAAGGAACCCTTGGGTAAGGATTCCTGGGTCTGGGAGCCACTGGAGCTCCAATCTACGGCTGGCCATGGATGTCACCGGCGCCCTCATCAGACAGGGAACCCTCCAAGGTCTGAAGCTCCATCGGCACAGCTTCCGTGACCAGCGCCCCTGGCCAGCTCACGGCTCGCGGCGAGGCGACTGCGTGACAACCTCGCCGCGCGGTGTCCCGTGGCTGGTCTGCATCGCCCCCCTTGTTTTCGATTTCGTCCTGCAAATCGAGCACTGGGGTACCCTCCCCGAGCCCACCTCGATCTTGCACCTCGGTCCGGCTGCAGCAGCCCCTCGCGCCTTCTGAGAAGTTGTCAGGGTCTTCGGCGGGGGCTTCGACAACTTCTCGGGAGGCCGGGGGGCTGCCATGAAGGGGCCCCAGGACACACAAATAGATACACACAAGTAAAATAATTCCCCATATTTTCTTATATTTCCTGGGTTTTTGTCTCCCCCCCCACTTCCCATACTTTCCCATATTTTCTGGGGAATCGACGATTAATTGCGTCTGTGTGTTTTTTCCCCTCCTGATTCCAGGCCTTCTGAGAAGGCCGCCCCTCCTCACCCTCCCCCAGGATGCACAGGAACACCCAGCAACCAAGAAGCGCACCAGGGCACCCTCTCCCCGGGCCGACTCTCGACCTTCCACCTCGGCCCGGCCGTGAGCAGCAGCTCTCCCCGGCACGCCCAGCGTGCAAGCGCCGGGGGCTGCACGAGCCGCCCCGCGAGAAGCGCGGGGGCGGGAGGGAGGGGGGCAGCCGTGCCCGTGGAGCGTCGGAGGGAGGGGGGCTCCTGCGGCGCGCCCGCCAGGCACTCTGCGGGGGCAGCCGGCGCCCCGCCCTCCCGAGGGGCGCCTCGGCCAGGCGAGCGCGCTCCGCGGCTCGGAGGGTAAGCATGCCATCGAAACAGGGTCACAAGAGCGTGGGACAGGAGCACAGGCCCCCCCCTTCGCCGGGAGCCCTGTGCCCCGTGGAGATGTCCAGAGCGAAGAGCATTCCGAGGTGGAGGGCCCAACGGCGAAGATCGTCAGGGTACCCAGCCAGAACTATGACTGTGTTTTTAGCCCTCGCGCCAGCTGTACCCGCAAGTGGCCCGGAAGATCCATCACAGAGAAGCACACACGTGGCGTTTCGGACGTTCGCGAGTGGGCACTCTGCGAGCAGGGGAACGCGCTCGGTGATTTGGCACAGGGCCGGCACCATGAGATCGCAAGCCGCGATCGCGGGCACCATCGCTCGCTCAATGGCTTTTAGCATGGGCGAAACGAGTCTTGAGGGAACCGGTTCCTGGACCCCGGGGCCCTCCCCCAAAGGCGAGACCTTCATTCTGAATCGTTCTCTGACAATCCCGCGGCCCGTGGAGGGCCCCGAGTGCTTGAGAACGGCCGAAAGCCTCGGGGCCCGTTTCCCTCAGGACCCGTTTCCCCCGAGGCGAGTGGCAGAAGCGGTTGCAAGGTCGCGCTGATCGGAGGTGTCAGCAGCTGCGGTCGCCGCACCGACCATGGACGGCTCATCTGATCGATCGGCGGCCTAGCTGCCCCGACACGCGACACGCAACACGTAGCGCACTGCTACGAAGCTCAACGCGTGGACTGAAAACGCAGGTCTGGCGCGATACGCTCGCCCAGACGTGGGCCAATGCGCTGAGCCAGCACGCAACGCAGCGTATTGACACAGGCGTTCTGAGCACGGCACGCGGTGCGCATCAAAGCGGGCGCGTCAAGGCAGCTCAGATCGGCGGACCTCCACGCGATCGGCGATCGTCGAGACGGGCGCGGCCTGCACCGACCGTGCACGAGGCCGCGGGATCGGTCGGGTGCGATCCCAGGCAGCCGACGCCGGCAGCTTCTCACGACGCCTACCCACCGAGGTACGGCCGATCATCCCGGGCCGTTTTCCGACGGTCTCGGGGCCCGGCCAGGACCCGTGGCACGCCACCAGCATTCATATTTTAGTATGAATGTATATGTAACGTTTATGTGTGTACCTATGTACGCATGTATGCATTCATAGATTTGTGTGTGAATTAACGTACTTATGTGTTCATGTATGCATGTAAGAATGTATGTATGTATATATTTATTGTCTGCATTTATTGAAGGTTTATTGATTGATTGATTGATTGATTGATTGATTGATTGATTGATTGATTGATTGATTTGTTGATGCATTTATTTGTTTATAGGGCCGGAGACCCCGGAGAAGGCCCCCCGCCCGAACGAATTTCGGACTCCCCGGGCTGCCGGGAAGCCCCCCCGAAAATTATCTGGGCGAAGGACCCAAACATATGCAGTTGTGAGCACCGCGATTGTGAGTATCTTCTTCGGTGGTGCCCACGAACCGAATGAGGGGCGTGCCGAGATGTGGCGGGGTACACAACACGAAGGAAGAGTGGTCGAATTACGAAAGACTGAGCGCGGGTGAATCTGAGCGCGAGTGAGTCGAACTATGAATGAGTCTGCACGCGAGCGAATATACTTGCACGAATGCGATCATGGCTACGCCTCCTGTAAATCCAGATGAATGTGAATGGTTCGGGTATGCCTGTCTGTGCACTCGTGACACTGAACGTGGCCGCCGCAGAAAGCTTCCGCGGGAACCCCGCCGGCAGCGCCCGCACGCCGCGACGCCCATGTCGGCACGCCCCTCACGAGGATCGCGCCCGCTTCCTTCCCTTCTTTTCCTCCCACTTTGCCCGCGCACTCCTAAGTTCAAAGCTGCGGGCGCAGCGCGGCGCGGAGTCCCCGCGACGCGCGCCGGACGCCCTGGAAGGGTCCCAGCGACGCGCGCGGGGCGTCCGCTGCGCGGAGCAAAGAGAGCTAGCTAGCTAGCTGGCTGGCTGATAGCGGGCAAGGCCCTGACCGCTGGGCAGAGCGACGACGGGCGAGCGAGGCGCAGGGAAGAACGCAGCACGGACTTCCCGCGACGCGCGCTGGTCGCCGCGCGCGGGTCGTCCGCGGCGCGGGGTGTGCCAAAATTCGTGTGGGGGGCGCATGCGGGCGGTGGCACTGGGGCCTTCGGTGGAGCTCCCTATGGGGCCACGAAACGTGTATGGGGTGTGCCGAAATGGGTGTGCGGGACGCATGCGGGCTGTGGCAGGGGCCTTCGATGGAGCTCCCTATGGAGCCACGAAGCGTGTGAGTGGTGTACCGAAATGGGTGCGCGGGACGCATGCGGGCACACCCACTGGGACCTTCGGTGGAGCTCCCTATGGGGCCACGAAACGTGTGAGGGGTGTGCCGAAATGGGTGTGCGGGACGCATGCGGGCACACCCACTGGGGCCTTGGGCCTTCGGTGGAGCTCCCTATGGGGCCACGAAACGTGTGAGGGGTGTGCCGAAATGGGTGTGCGGGACGCATGCGGGCACACCCACTGGGACCTTCGGTGGAGCTCCCTATGGGGCCACGAAACGTGTGAGGGGTGTGCCGAAATGGGTGTGCGGGACGCATGCGGGCACACCCACTGGGACCTTCGGTGGAGCTCCCTATGGGGCCACGAAACGTGTGAGGGGTGGGCCGAAATGGGTGTGCGGGACGCATGCGGGCACACCACTGGGACCTTCGGTGGAGCTCCCTATGGGGCCACGAAACGTGTGATGATGATGACGATGATGACGATGCTGACGATGATGACGATGATGACGATGATGACGATGACGATGACGACGATGACGATGATGATGATGATGATGATGATGATGATGATGATGATGATGATGATGATGATGATGATGATGATGATGATGATGATGATGATGATGATGACGGGAGGAGAGAGGAAGGGGGAGGAGGAGGAGGAGCAGGAGGAGGAGGAGCAGGAGGAGGAGGAGGAGGAGGAGGAGAGGAGGAGAGGAGGGGAGAACGCGGGGCGACGTCTCTTCAAAACGAGGACCCAACACCATAGGATGGTTCGGAAAAACAGACCCCCTCGATCTGGAGCTTTAGGCCCCCCTGGACGCCCTTGGGAGAGGCCCCCCAGCCCTGTCGCGCCTCCCAGGGCGCCTTGCGGGGCCTTGCCAGCAAGCCAAGGCGATCAGAGAAGCGGTCGGAGAGGAGCAGGAGAGCCCCACGGCAGCGAAAGACAACCTCAAGACGGCCCAAGAAGCCCCAAAGACGCCCCAAGAGGCCTTCCGAAGATCCCCCAAGAAGCAAAAAACGCCCCATTCCCTAGGGGAAGCATACACGTGTGGCACATTCGGTTTTTGTATCGTAGCAGCGTCCAAGACGGCCCAAGAAGCCTGCGAGATCACCCCACAGCAGCCCAAGAGGTCCCCAAGAGGGCTTCGAGCCGGGCCAAGATGACCCCAACACTGTCTCAAGACAACCCAAAAGAAGCTCACGAGGCCCCCAAAAGGCTACCAAGAAAGACCCACGAGGGCCATATGTGGTCCCCAAGAGGCCCAAGTTCCCCAGGAGAGACCCACAGCAGCGCAAGACGGCCTCAAGACGGCCTAAGAGGCCCCCAGGACGGCCCAAGAGGCCCCAAAGACGCCCCAAGAGGCCTTCAGGAGAGCCCCCAAGAGGCAAAAGACGCCACATTCCCGAAGGGAAACGTACCCGTTTAGCATATTAATTTGTTTGTCGTAGCAGCGTCCAAGACGGCCCAAGAAGCCTGCGAGATCGCCCCAAGGCGGCCCAAGAGGTCCCAAAGAAGGCTTCAAGCCGTGCCAAGAGGACCCCAAGACAGCCCCGAGGCGGCCCAAAAGAAGCTCACGAGGCTCCCAAAGGCTCCCAGGAGAGACCCACGAGGGTCATGGGAGATCCCCACAAGGCAAAAAACGCCCCATTCCCCAAGGAACGCGTGCCTTTAAGCATCTTCGTTTGTTGTGTCGTAGCAGCGTTCGGACAAAGAGGACCCTAAGATTTCCCCAAAACGGTCCGAAAGAAGCTCACGAGGCCCCCAAAGGCTCCAAACAGAGACCCACGAGGGCCATGGGAGGTCACTACGACGGCCCAAGTTCTCCAAAAAGGCCCCAGGACGGCCCCAGAGGGACCCAAGATGGCCCACACGGACTTCACAAGGACCCCCAAGACGGCCCAAAGAGGCGCCAAGGAGGCCTGCAGAGGTCCCCAAAGCCTTGAGAGGCATTCGAGAGGCCCTCAAGAGGTTCTCCAATGAGGAGCCTACGCAAAAAGACCTGCGGCAGACGGGAAATGGTTCGCAATGTCAAGCGAGAGCGTGGACTAACGCGAAATACGATGCGGAACTTTGGGGCGTTGCTTCCTATTGCCTTGCATCGCGCGACCGGGCGACTTGGGCCCACGAGCGAGCCCGTGTTGTGGCCACGCGAAGGACCCCGAACGTCACTCATTTGCAAGATCGTGCGTTTTCCAGAATGCGTCTCCTACAAAATTCACGAAATTAATCGGACTCCTGGGCTCGCAACACAAAGTCCCTTGAAATCCATGGCGAACCCGGGATCCTGTGTATTCCCGAGGAAGAGGAGGCGGAGGAAGACCAAAGTGCTATACCTACGTATACATACATACATACATACATACATACATACATACATACATACATACATACACACATACATACACACATACATACATACATACATACATACATACATACATACATACATACATACATACATACATACATATATACATACATTACATACATACATACATACATCCATACATACATACATACGTATGTACGTACGCACGTACGTACGAACATACGTACATACATACATACATGCATGCATACATACATACACACATACATACATACATACATACATACATGCATGCATACATACATACATACATACATGCATGCACGCATACACACATTACATACATACATGCATACATACATACATACATACGTACATGCATACATA